TTAGGATTACATGTTACTATATATATGGATAACGAGTTATAGCATCTATGGTGAGAGATTGATTTGAGAGTTTGTAACCTTAAGTTTTGAGAAAGTTTCTTAAGCTAATAAGAAGAGATATTCTTATACTTTGAGTTCTTAAAAAGCAGAGATTACAACAATATTTGGTACCAAAGCTAGTGATGAGCGATCTTACGGTAGCGAAGACGACGAAACTAAAGGAGGGAGGAACCTCGTCGATCAAGTGTCCTATTCTAACTTTAACCAACTACACCGTGTGGGCTATGAGAATAAAAATCTTATTCAAGGTACATAACTTGTGGGAGGTTATTGATTCTGAATTGGAGGATGCTGAGAAGAGCCACATGGCCATGGCCCTATTGTTTCAGTCGATACCGGAGAGCCTTATTTTGCAGGTTGGAGAGTTGGATACGGCAAAAAAAGTTTGGGAAGCGGTTAAAGCACTGTCATATAGGTGCAGAGAGAGTTCGAGATGCCCGGTTACAAACGTTAATGGAAAGCTTCGACCGTCTTAAGATGAAAGAAACATAGACGATTGATGTTTTTGATGGAAAACTATCTGAGATATCATCAAACTCATCTGCCCTAGGAGAAGAGATTGAAGAATCGAAGCTGGTCAAAAAATTTCTGAAGAGTCTTCCACACAAGAAGTATATACACATAATAGCCACATTGGAGCAAGTACTAGATCTCAATACAACACGATTTGAGGATATTCTACGGCGCTTAGAGGCCTATGAAGATCGTGTGAATGAAAAAGAAGAGGAAGCTTCAGAAAGTCAAGACAAGTTAATGTATACGAACATGGAGTCACAACCTTCTCGCGATTCTAACTATGAAAACAGAGGAATAGGACTTGGAGGATGATTTTATAATAGAGGACGTGGTCGTGGACGTTACAACAGACCTAGAGATGCATCAAGGGTTACATGTTTCTGTTGTAACAGGGTAGGACACTTCGCATACAATTGTCCAGACCGCCTACTAAAGTTACAAGCAGCACATGAAAGCGAGACCAATGATACACAAGAAGCAGATGTGTTGATGATGCATGAGGTTGTCTACTTAAACGAAGGAAAGATGTTACCAAGTAATTATGAATCAAAGATTGGAGAAGAAGATATCTGGTACCTTGATAACGGAGTAAGCAACCATATGAGTGCAGATCAACGATACTTTGCGACTATTGATGACTCTGTAACTAGAAAAGCTAGGTTCGTATTGATATTAAAGGAAAAGGGGTAATCGAGTTTACAGACAGAAACAGTGATGCAAGAAGGATAACGGATGTCTACTTTAGTTCCGACTTGAGAAGCAACATAATCAGTCTTGGACAGGCAACATAAGCAGGGTGCAATGTGAGAATGTATGGAGAGTATCTTACAATGACCGACCATGATGGGAAGCTAATTTCCAAGGCAATACGATCAACGAATAGGTTATATAAGGTCCACATTAGGACTAAAGGATAATCATTCTTTGTTGTCTAAAATGACTAGTGACTCAAATAGGTGGAATGCGAGGTTGGGGCTCTTAAATTTTGAGACAATGAAGTCAATGATTCAAAGAAACCTGGTAGAAGGAATTCCACAGATTGATGTAGAGAATAAAGTTTGCTGATCATGCTTGCTAGGCAAACAACCAAGACAAGCTTTTCCGGAACAAACATCATATCGAGCAACTGAGAAACTTGAGCTTGTTCGTGGTGACTTATGTGGTCCTATAAGTCCACATACGAGTGCAGGTAACAAATACATATTTGTTCTTATTATGACTTCTCTAGATATATGTGGACAGTGCTACTGAAAGATAAAGGGGATGCATTCAAAAAATTCAAGAGCTTCAAGAGTATTGTTGAAAAGGAGTCAGGATCGCCTATACAACCTTTAGAACAGATCGAGGTGGTGAGTTCGTATCACATGAATTCAACTCATTCTGTGATATCTCAGGAATCAAACGGCACCTAACAGCTTCCTATACGCCACAACAAAACGGAGTTGTTGAGAGATGTAAACGAACCATGATGGAGATGACTAGAAGTATTATGAAACACATGACAGTTCCAAGTTACTTGTGGGGAGAAACCGTGAGGCATACTACTTATCTTCTAAATCGTGTGGATACAAGGGCACATAAGGATCGAACTTTGTATGAAGTTTATCATGATAGGAAGCCAAATATTACTCATCTGAGAGTATTTGGTTGTATTGGATACGCAAGAGTTGAATCAAAGTTCCTAAAGAAGCTTGATGATAGGTCTCGTATGTTAGTTCATCTTGGAACAGAACCAGGGTCTAAGGCCTACCGTCTACTTGATCCAAAAACACAAAGGATAATAGAAAGTCGGGACATGGTGTTTGATGAATCAAAGGGCTGGAACTGGGAGCGTAGTATCTCGGAAGGTAACAGAGATGGAAGTTTTAAAATAAAGTTTGGAAGTTTTGGGAACCTTGGGATCCAAGAAACCGAGCAAGAGGTTGAAGAAGTAGTTGAAACCATAGAAGTTGAGAGAATAGAAGCTGGTAAAGAGAAAGCTGTATCAGATGGTGATGAAACAGAAAGCGATGATGATCAGATTAGCTCAGAGTCACAGGAACAAAGTGAACCGACGTTAAGAAGATCACAACGTTTTGTCTCCAGACCAAAATATCTAGACGATTATGTGTTGCTCTCTGAAGAAGAGGGTGAACGCCTACTTATGTGTCTGAATAGTGAGCCGTTTAGTTTCGAGGAAGCAAAAGAGTTTGGAGTTTGGATAAGAGCATGCCAAGAAGAGATCAACTCAATTACAAAGCTTGAATCATGTACACTCATAGACTTACCACATGGAGCAAAGGCAATAGGTCTCAAATGGGTATTCAAAATTAAGAAGAACTCAGATGGAAGCATCAATAAGTATAAAGCTCGACTCGTGGCAAAGGGGTACGGCCAAAGACATGGAGAAGACTATGGAAAGGTGTTTTCTCCAGTAGCACGCATAGAGACAATACGACTACTTATCAGCCTTGCGGCATCAAATGGCTGGGAGATACACCATCTTGATGTAAAAACAGCATTCTTGCACGGGGAGCTTAAGGAAACTGTATATGTCAGTCAACCGGAGGGTTTTGTAGTAGAAGGCTGCGAGAATAAAGTGTATAAACTACACAAAGCTTTATACAGCTTAAAGCAAGCCCCTAGAGCTTGGAATGAGATGTTGAACAAGATATTACACGAGCTTGATCTCTCAAGATGTTTGAAGGAGCCCTCAGTATATCGAAGAACATTAAATGGTAATCTACTTCTTGTTGCAATTTTATGTAGATGATCTATTTATTACAGGAACAAGCATGAGAGAGATAAACAGTTTCAAAGAGGAGATGCCTACAAATTTTGAGATAAGTGACTTAGGAAAGTTGAGTTATTATCTTGGAATCGAAGTCACTCAACATGAGAAGGGAATTACATTGAATCAGAATCGTTATGCACTAAAGATCTTGGAGGAAACAAAGATGAGTGACTGCAACCCGGTTCAAATACCAATGGATTCAGGGATCAAGTTGGCAAAGTCCGATGGTGAAAGAGAGATCGATGGAACAAATTACAGGAAAACCTTTGGCTGCTCTCGATATCTACTTCACAGTAGACCTGATTTTTCATATTGTGTTGGAGTGTTGAGAAGATACATGTAGAATCCCAAGGAGTCTCATGGAGTTGCATTGAAGCAATGCTTGAGGTATCTACGAGGAAGTACTTCTTATGGCCTAACCTTTGAGCGGTTTAATTTAAAATGGATGCAACTAGTTGGCTAGTGTGATAGCAGGGAAAATGTGGATCCAGATGATGGACGGAGTACCACAGGACACATCTTTTATCTTGGTAAGAGCCCCATTACGTGGTGTTCTCGGAAGCAGGATACAGTGGCCCTATTCTCATGTGAAGCTGAATTTATGGCTGGGACTGAAGCATCGAGACAAGCAATTTGGCTGCGTGACTTACTCAGTGAGATCGTTGGAGCACCATGGGAAAGAGTGATCATACGAATAGATAACCAGTCTGCAATTGCTTTGACAAGAAATCCAGTGTTTCTTGGCCGTAGTAACCATATCCACACAAGGTATCACTTTATTAGAGAATGTGTTGAGAAGAAATTGATCGAGGTTGAACATGTCCCTGGGAATGAGCAAAAGACAGACATACTAACCAAGGCGCTTGGGAGAGTTAAGTACAAGGAGATGAGAGAGCTCATTGGTGTTCATGATGTGGAGAAAACCAACTTCAAGTTTAAGGGGGAGAATGTTGGAGTAAGCTTGAAGATAGCTTAAGCGGGAAGTAATCCTAATCCTACGTGGAATTGTGATCAAGAGATGAAATATCTTAATAGGTGTTTTACTAATACCATTAGGATTACATGTTACTATATATATATGGATGCCGAGTTATAGCATCTATTGTGAGAGATTGATTTGAGAGTTTGTAAGCTTAAGTTTTGAGTAAGTTTCTTAAGCTAATAAGAAGAGATATTCTTATACTTTGAGTTCTTAAACAACAGAGATTACAACAATATTATTTGTGGTAAAACCTTGGAAAATCATGTTAAAATCATAGTTATTTTATAAATAATGATGAATAATTTGTGATTAAACCGTGGCAAAATAATATTTTTTTCTTTTTGTAGATTACCCATGTTTAATTTTTTGACCATTTTGTCATGAAATATTGTAGCAAAATTATGGCTATGTTTAGCCAAGTTTGTTTCCTTGTGGCTTCATGGGCTTTTATCACGATTCGGATACGAATAGTCATGTTTTTTATTTCGTGGCATTTTGTAGTTTTTCTTGACTTTTTGAAAATTGCAAGCATGTGGCTATTTCGTGACAATAGTCGAGATTTCTACTAGTGGGAAAACAGAAGAATCAACAAGTTTTCTTGTGTTAGTTACTTGAAACGACATTTTGTCTTTCTGTCCTGGATGTCATATTTTGAAATTTGAAACATAAATGAGTAAAAATGTAACTGAACAGTAGCAATACTTCTTTAATGCCCAACCGAATAAACAACCCACAGACAAATTAAGTACAAATGAATATCAGATTTATTGATACTAATTGTTGTGGTTTAACTGGATCATACTTCGGAGTAAATTGAGCTTTCACCTGATGGCTGAGATGACTCTGAAATATTTTGCATTGGCATATGCAAAAGAGGCTTAGGAGGTGCCTTGAGAGTTTCCAAACTTCCTTCAATCATCTCTATGACTTCGTTCATCGTTGGACGATCTGACGGGCATAACTGAATACACCAAAGCCCGACTATGATCATCTTTTTCGCTATATCTTCTTCTTCTTGATTTAATTCACCCCCAAGAAGCTTTGTGATATCTCCACTTTCAAGATCCTTATAGATCCAATCCGGAAAGTAAGCCGAGCTCTTGTTCGGATCAGAACTTTCAACCCTTTCTTTGTTCCTTGCTCCGATCATCTCAAGAACTAACATTCCATAGCTGTACACATCTGACTTGTAAGACACACTTCCATACATTCTTGAAAATAACTCTGGAGCAATATATCCTATAGTTCCTCTTGTGTCGAGCGATGACAAGATGCTTTCTTGGTTCTGGCAGAGTTTAGCAAGACCAAAGTCAGAAACTTTGGGTCTCAGATTATCATCTAACAACACATTCTGAGGTTTAATGTCGAAATGCACAATCCTTGTTCGGCAACCGTAGTGCAGATACTCAATTCCCTTAGCAACGCCTAGCGCAATTCCATATAGTGTACTCACATCAAGATTCATCGACTGATCTAGAGATCCATTCTCTACAAACTCGTAGACGATCGCTCTTTTTGACCCTTCGTAGCAGAAACCAAGCAGGGAAACAATGTTAACATGAGATGTTTGGCTGATGCTTGCGACTTCGTTAATGAAGTCTTCACAATTGCTCATCGAGTCCTTCAAAACTTTTACTGCAACTTTACTGCCATCACGTAGCTTCCCTTTATACACGGTACCGAATCCACCTCGTCCAATTACTTCTGAAAATGATTTGGTAATATCTTTTATTTGTCTATAACTATATAGTCTCGAGGTTACAAGCGCCTCAAGGTTTTGTTTTCTCAGAGCCTTTTTCTTTCTTCTCTCCCATAACAAAAATACTAGAATCATCACCAAATATGCAGTAACTACTGATCCTGCAACTGAAAGATACAAAACCAAAGTTAGTTTCATTCACTGGAAAGTTCAGATACAAGCCGGAGCAGCAATCAGTCCTAACCTGTCCCGATTGTAATAAGTATTAGATTCATGTTGTTAGTTCCTGCAACATTTAATGGAGTAATGAACATTCAGAATGTCAAAGTTAGTATTGAAAATTCAAGAAAGCGACTTTACCGCTATCAAGAATATCACGGCAATCTATTGATCCTGATACATACTTGCAGCAACCCTTTCCGGAAATACTAAAGCCACAGTTTTCACCAGTGGATAAGCATTCTGGACAAGGTATCTCGTCCATATTCAGTTTCACTTCAAAACCTTTTCTAAGAACACTTTCTAAATGGGTAATATTCAAAGCTTCTTCTTCTGGAACGTAACTTGCAGGAACAGTGACGCTAAACCTCATATCACAAAGTTTATTATATCTAGAGTCCTGAACAACCGACCCAAGATTATTAATCGGACATGTAAAATTGCCAAGGAAATGGCGGCGAGTGTCACAGATGTAGAACACGGTAAGGCTTTTGTAAGATGGTAGGTTCTGTAAGAGATCTTGAGGCAAAGGTGAAGAGGAGAATAAAGCGGAGCAGAAAGGACGCGAAAAATCTTGTCTTGAAAGTCTAAGAGTAATGGATCCATTCATGTCTGTATGGAGGACACTGTAGTTGTAGCCCGAGAGATTAATAGAAGTTGTGTTTGAGCTTTTGTTGCAGCTAAGATTCAGCAAAGGGTGACCGCAAGATGGGGAGCGTTGCTCTCCCGAGAAAGGGAAACCAACTGTGATGTTGCCACACTGAAACGGAGTTTCACAATACACAGTTGGTTGTTTCTGGCTTGGAACACAAGGAAGATGATAAAACAAGAATAACAAGATAAGAAAGAACTCAGTCCTTGGAGATTCCATGGATAATAAAAAAAAACTACTTTGCTATGATTAGAGATGAGAAAGAGGAAAAGAAAATTTATAACCAGAGCTGTTTCTGTTGACTTTGAATAGATGGGAGAGACGTAAGGAACAAGAGTAGCTGACTTTTCTTATTACTAAAGAAGAACATGACTTGTTTTAGATCAGTGACATGTGTATGGATCTGAATTGAATCCTTAATCTGATGAAGAAAATGATTTCTCCATCTCTGGTTGGGATTCTTAATTATTTACCTTATCCCAAACAAGTTGAGAGGATATTTTTGGCATTTCTTGCCCGAGTTTAACAGACTCGACAACAGAACAATTGCTCAAATGTTCATTTATGTAATTGATGCCGCATTTAGATATAGCATATGAATACAACATATCTTATTATTTGCATTCAGATGCTAAATTGTTCTTTTTTTTTTTATAATAGCATTTGAACACTAATAGTTAAAAAGATTAAGGTGTCAATTTCCATAAAAGAAATGTCAATCTTTACTTTTATAATAGCATTTAATGAGAAAACACATCCGAGAAAGGAAACAAAGAGTAATTTGTCAAATAATAAACCTCGTTAGTAACTTTCAACCGAGAGGATTACTTTACAACTCCAAAAGACGATGGAGTTCAAATGGGCGAATCAGTTAGAAGAGGAGGCTACTTGGGAATATCTGTTTGAGTTACAGAAGAAGTATCCTGAATTTTCTTGCTAATCTTGTGGTCAAATTTCTTTGGAGAGGGAGGTTGTGTTACATCTATTGTGGAATAGAAGAGAATGACGTGAAGGGGAAGTTAAAGACGTCGGTAAGTGGAAAAGAAGAGGATGCGTGTCGATGTTTTAGTAGTTGAGAGTTGAAGGTATTTTACGAGTTAGAAACAGAGTACTTAAGCAAATTGTTGCTTCGGTTACACACATCAAAAAATCATTTGTAAACTTTCTCAAATTCTAATAAAATTCTCTAGATTTTTTAATCTCTTGAGTCTGAAGATCATTCTCATTTCGAGATCTTTAATAAGTAGATTTCAATTCCTCGTTTTATGAACGTTGGATTGAAGAGTGAATAGTGGTTTAACTTGTAGTTATAGTTGCAGGTGTTTATGGACGTGAGAGGTTGCAGTTTTAAATATTAGCAAGAGATTTGAACGATTCATACAACAATTAAAAGTTGATGCATTTACGGGATACTTATGACTGGTTAACTATTAAATACATTAGTGGTTAAATAATAAATTAACAATATTTATATTTTATATGATTATACAAATATTAAAATCATATTTTATAATAAAAATAAAAATTATATTGATAAATTTATACTATTAAATATTTTTAAAAATTATATAAAATATTTTTGTTTGAATTTTTATAATATAAATTAAAATATGCGATATATATTGGTATTTTTTATTATTTTAATTTAAAATTTTATTATAATATTTATATAGTTTTTTGAAATTTTTTTTTTTTATCTTTTCGCAATTGTCTGCAAACGCTAGCTGGAACCAATTTTAAAAATTTATAGGTTTAAAACGATTTATAGTGTTTTCTGTGATTGTTGCAAAATGTCAACAATTGTTACCAACCGTTATGTTACCAACCGAAAAAACTACGTTTGCACGTCGTGGGGGAAAACCAGTCAAACCCATAATGGACCCCTGAAAGTTATATTATTGTCAACAATTTGAAAGTGAATCTTGTTATCACTAGATTCGTACAGTGATATGATTTGTTGGAATGGAGAATCTTTTTTTTTTATCAAGGAATGGAGAATCTTATGTTGTAGATCGTACAAAGGTAAACTACATCATGACACTTGGATGAGAACGTAGCATACAATGGATATGCAAGCAAGCAGAACGGATCGCATAATTAACGAAAAACAAAAGTGAGAACTTAGACAAGATTGATCGAGCTGAAAGAGAGCGTGGCATGAAAATGAGATACTGAGATGGATCTACCAAACGATAAAGATAAAACTAGTATCACCAACTAACCATTCACAGAAAAAATGACTCATTCTTTTTTTTTTTTTTTTTTTTTTTTTGACAACGAACGGCTGATCTATTACTCAAACTTGAGGNAGATACTGAGATGGATCTACCAAACGATAAAGATAAAACTAGTATCACCAACTAACCATTCACAGAAAAAATGACTCATTCTTTTTTTTTTTTTTTTTTTTTTTTTGACAACGAACGGCTGATCTATTACTCAAACTTGAGGTGGCATGGGAATCTAGACCGGAATAGAACAACCTACATACATGAGATCCCGATGGAAGGATCGGGCAATCTTAGCTAAGTGATCGGATACAGTATTTAGAGCTCGAGGTACATAAGAAATCTTAAAGGCTGGAAAGCAAATCCTCAGTGTCGAGATCCTCTCCAGTTCCGTCGAAAAGCTTGGCCATCCATGGGGATCCTTGAGCATTGCTAACAATTCCTTGCAGTCTGTCCCAAAGCTCTGACATGGCGAATGTTGAAGCATGTTCTCCATTGCCCACCGCAGCGCCTCCAACTCAGAATGCAAAGCCGATTCCACTCTACTCACATTACGCATCCCCATCAACTGATTGTTTCCCATGCTATCCTTCCAATCCCATCCACATCCGGAGAACTGGTCTATAGAGGTCCAAGAACCGTCTACCATGCAGATATCTTGTAGACTTACGGTCTGACATTCAATATCGCCGTTCTCCTGTGTAGCCTCAACTTCCTTCTCATTAGCTTGGAACCAGGCAAGACACTCACTCTCTGCATACCTAGCCAGTTCCAAAGGGTCCCTGTCTATTCCTCTGAACAACTTATCATTCTGGGCCTTCCAAATGTACCATATTAACCAAGGATAAGGATCCTTTTCTAATTCTGGCACACAAATGGCCTTCTTCCGCCAGAATAGATAATCCATATTCGCATAAGTGCTCTCCAAAGGAAACAGCGACGAACTGGTGGGTATAGATGCTAAGGCCCATACCTGTAAAGCCGGTGGACATTGAAAAATTGCATGTTCAATTTTTTCCTCTGGTTCTTTACATCGTGGGCAGTAATTATCACATCTCATGTGTCTATGATTCAGCGCACTCGTAACAGCCACCTGCCCTGAAATAATCTGCCACATAAGATGGCACATCTTCGGAGGAGCTTTAACCTTCCATACCTGTGCTTGAAGTCTTTTGATACTAGGCTCATCTACCATATTCTTCCTCCTTCATTAGTACATTCCTAGCTACCCAGTAACCTGACTTGATTGTGTACTGTCCACTCTTTGTGTAGCTCCAGCAGTATGTGTCTCTACGATGGATTGAACTAAGTGCCATACTCCTTATGAGAGGTATATCAGCAGATTCAACATAGTTTGCCAACCGCTCCAGATCCCAAGACTTAGTCTCTTGGTTGATAAGATCACTCACTCTCATGTTCGGATGTAGAACCGGAGCTGATGCATGTGCTGGTCTTGCTGGGATTGTGGGAATCCAAGGATCCTCCCATACCTTAACTTCAAACCCTGAATGAATTTTCTGTCTAACCCCCAATAGCAATAATTCTCGTGCAGCTGAGATACTTGTCCACACATATGATGGGCTACTGACAGTAAGCTCTCGCAAAGGCAAACTTAATCGATAATATCGCCCTCTCATAACACGAGCTACCAAGGAATCTGGGTTTTGGGCCAATCTCCACAACTGCTTCGCTAGTAATGCCAGGTTGAACTCATGGATCATCCTGAAGCCAATCCCTCCATCCTCCTTCGATAGACATAGCTTATCCCATGTTGTCCAGTGTAAGCCTTTCTTTGGTGGGTTTGAACTCCACCAAAACTGTGCAATGGCACTTGCTAGGGCATCACAAATCTCCAATGGGAGCAAAAAGCAAGACATAACATATGTTGGGAGAGCTAGCAGGATTGACTTTATCATTACTTCCTTTCCACCTTTAGATAACCACCTGCCTGTCCATCCATTCACTCTATGCCTAAGTTTGTCTTTTAAGAAGGCAAACAACTTACATTTTGAGCCACTAATATCCTCTGGTATCCCAAGGTAAGTTCCCATTCCTGCTTCATTTTGGATCCCAAGTGTATCTTTAATCTCCTGCCTGGCCTCGTGACCGATCCTCTTCCCAAAGAGTAAAGAAGACTTGTCAAAGTTTATGCACTGACCAGAGGCTTGTCCATATTTCCTCACCACTTTCATTACTTCTTCACATTCACGGGGCTCCGCCTTACAGAAGAAAAGGCTATCATCAGCAAAGAGTAGGTGGGATACCGACGGACACGCACGTGTGATGTGCATCCCTGTTATCTTTCCCTGATTCTCTGCGTGATTAAGAAGGCTAACGAGCGCTTCCGTGCATAGAATAAAAATGAAAGGAGACAAAGGATCTCCCTGACGTAGACCTCTCTCTGGTACTATCTTCCCTCTTGGTTGGCCATTCATGAGTACCTTGTATTTTACTGTTGTTACACATCGCATAATCCAGGTAATCCAGACTTCTGAAAAACCCATCTTCCTCATGGTGGCTTCAATGAAAGACCATTACATACGATCATATGCCTTGCTCATGTCAGTTTTAATGGCCATCCTCTTATTACGCCCACTTGGTTTGGTTCGTAAAGCATGGAATAACTCCTGGGCTATCATTATGTTATCCGATATTTGTCGCCCAGCAACAAAGGCTGACTGGGTCTCCGAAATCCTATCTGGAAGGACCTTCTTTAGTCTTTGACATAAAACCTTGGAAATAATCTTGTAGCAAACGTTACAAAGACTAATGGGGCGTAGCTGACTCATTTGATTTGGCTTTTCAACTTTCGGGATAAGGCATATATTGGTGTCGTTTAGACCAGTCGGAATAATCCATTGAAATAGGAAATCATTAACCGTACGAGTTAAATCCTCCTTAACAATATCCCAAAAATTCTGATAAAACAGAGCTGTCATTCCATCAGGTCCAGGAGCTTTCTCAGGATGCATGGCGAAGAGAGCTAATTTA